TGGTAGAAATTGAAGGGACCCCACGGGTCATCTAGTCCAACCCACTGCAATGCAGGAATATTTTGCCCAACATGGGGCTTGGAAACTATAAGTCATAGGGCATTTTTATTCACCCCAGTGACTTGGACAGGTGAGATAATCCAGGACAGTCGTTTTAAATCAAAATATGAGTAGTAGGAGTTATTTTTTAAAAAACAAATGTGGTGATCTGCCATGGAACAACCCCATTGAAGAAGGTCACAGGGGTTACCAAGACTTCATTGCTGATTGCAAAGGGCCCCCCATAACAATTTGAGCTTCAGGAGCCCCCAAATGTAGGTCTGCCACTGAGCTGGTGAGCTACGCCATCCTGCAAACTCTACCCACTTTGGACTCTGCTCCCACCCATTGCATCCATCCAGCCCCCAAGAGATCCCCACCCAATGGAACATGTCCAGAGATTCCACCCACCCTGCCAGGCCCTAGCCTAGTTGGACCCTGGAATGAAACCCTTCCCAGGAATAAAGGCACAATGGTGCAAACTAGCTGAGTGACAGAGTGACTGCAATGCCTTTTTTGCCTTTGGTTGCTGTGCAGAATGAAGAGGGTTTAGCCAGGAAAAGAGGGTGAGAAGGAGCAGCTGGATGTCACCTTCCAGACGTGCATTTGCCCTTGAACTGTATTATAGAATCATAGAGGACTCGTATTGACCAAGAGCGCTCCCCTCAGGGCTTCAGGCTGCTAGTCCTTCTCCTTCTGGTTCCTCTCCCTGGGGGTGAAATCCGAAGTGATTTCTCCTTGATCTTATTAAGGCACAAATGCACCTGGAAACTCTTTAGCCCCAAGAGGCAAGATGGGTGACATAAGGAAAGGTAGCAGAATCTTAGGTGTTGCCAGTAAGACCTGTGTCACTTCTGATGGTTCTATAGCCTGCATGGCTCCTCAAGGCGGGTCTCAGTGAACCAAGCCCCCTCCTGTTAGAGGTCTCCGCACAGGGTTTCTAAACACCTGCTGGCAAATTCAAAGGCAGCTTTGCCACACTGCTTGTTTGTGTTAGAGACAAAATGGAAATGATCGTTCCTTTTATTAATACATCCATGTTTTATTGGCTTAAATACATGACAGTTTGGCCTCTTTACATTTCCTGATCCTTTGGAGTGCTGGAGGATCTGCACCAACAGAAGACTAAAGGATAACCAGTCAGGCAGTTGAAGCAAGTAGGTGGGAAGACTGCAAAGGGAAAACTCGCCCTTCGAGGAGGTAACCGACTGCGCTTTGAAATGAGTCATTGCCAGAAGTCTCCTTTTCATTTTTTAAAAAAAATGCAGGTCCAACAAACAAAACATTGGCCTGTAACATAAATGTAAGCATCTAGTTCACTACAGGTGCTGCAAGATACATTTCAGGCTTTAAGTGGTGTCATTCTTATGCATCATCCAATTCACTTGGCATGAAGCTCATCTGCCTACATGCATTGACCTCCACCTCCAGGGTCTTCCCTGTGAGACTCAGAACAGCCCCACAGCTACTCATAGAATCATAGAGTTGGAAGGGACCCTGAGGATCATCTCGTCCAACCCCCTGCAATGCAGGAATATGCAGCTGTCCAATACTGGAATTGAACCTGCAACCTTGGGGTTATTAGCACCACGCTCTGACCAACTGAGCTATCCAGGCTTGCTTCCTCCTTTTGCAGATGTAGCCTGGGGGCAGTGCATGTCAAGGGATAGCCCACACGGTCTATGCAAGAACATGCATGGGGTCCTTGCCACTTCAGGTGGCAGTTTTGCTGGCTGGCAGCTGTAAAACACCAACCGGCAGGAAAAGGCAGGCTACCAAGTAGAAAAGAAAGGCAGGTGGTCTTTCAGTGGCCTGCATTTCCCACTCACTACTGGAAGGCATCTGGGGGCTCAACGCTGCCAGCCAAACCCCACCCCACCCCAAAGTGGCAGCTTTGCCCTTGCGGGGATATTTTTCTGTGGAATGAAGGGTTCCCCTTCCCAGGAGTCCCTGCAGAGGTCACCCACCTATTGCTCCACATTTCATGGCAGAGTGGCATTAAGCATGGAGAACATCAGATTAACAGCTCTCAAGCGAGCACAGCCTATTAGCGCCTAGTGTGAAGTGACCATAACAAGGCCCTTCATGGCCTTAACCCTCAGCACTGAGCTGGGAACTCTGGTGGGAAAATGCTCCCCCCAGGACAGGAGCAGCAGGAAGACACGCATCGCTCTGCTCTGTGACAGCAGAATGGAGGAAATGGGAACTGACGGGAACCCAGCAATGTGCCAGGGGCAAAGTCTCAAGCTGGCTGATTTATGGGTCACAGTTTGGGTTTTGTGTGTGCGTGCACATGTGTGCATTTCTCCACCCTGTTCTACAACCTAACCAAGAGCAGCCCCCAGAAGTTCAAGTGTCGCAGCAGCAGCAGCAGCAGGCATTGGAGATTGCTTGTCTGTGCTCAGGGCAGGGGTATCCCTGTCTCTGGGTGACACAGATCTTGAGCCTTGCTCCAGCCAGAGACATGATTAGCATTTCTGATGCCACACAGTGCAGAGAAACTTGTGGCACCCTCTAAGTGCTCTGAGGCAGCTACTCAATGTCTTTTCCATTTGTGCATTTGTGATGATTTCGAAGAATTGTAGAATTGGAAGGGATCCTAAGGGTCATCAGGTCCAACCCCCTGCCATGCAACTTGTGCTCATGATAGTATGAAGGCAGTTATACATAAGCCCACTTTCAATACCCTTTGCACCTACAAAGGTTTTGAAGTAGACACACTGATTTGTTTCCAGTTTGTGCGTGGTCTCGTAACTTTCTGTTGGAACTGTGTCACTTTTTATATCCTATTTTGTCCCACTTTGGCTGCACTATAGTGCCCCTCCAGCAACAATATTGCCATGACATTAGGGAAGCATCGCAGAGGAGCTAATAAAGCAGGATTAGGTGTGGACATTCCAGAATATAGCCACCCCTAATGCACTATTGGGACGCGGGTGGCGCTGTGGGTAAAACCTCAGCGCCTAGGACTTGCCGATCGCATGGTCGACAGTTCGAATCCCCGCGGCGGGGTGAGCTCCCGTCGTTCGGTCCCAGCGCCTGCCAACCTAGCAGTTCGAAAGCACCCTTAAAAAGTGCAAGTAGATAAATAGGGACCACTTTATAGCGGGAAGGTAAACGGCGTTCCGTGTGCTGCACTGGTGCTGGCTTACCAGAGCAGCGATGTCACACTGGCCACGTGACCCGGAAGTGTCTGCGGACAGCGCTGGCTCCCAGCCTATAGAGTGAGATGAGCGCACAACCCTAGAGTCTGGCAAGACTGGCCCGTACGGGCAGGGGTATCTTTACCTTAATGCACTATTATTGTGTCAAAAACATGTTGCAGAAGACAGTCCAGAGGGGCTGCAATGCCTCGTTTGCCATCAACACTTGATAGTCCACCCTGTGCAGGAACAGAATCGACAACAGAAGCTCCATCCAGTGTAGGGCTGCCATACGTCCGGATTTTCCCAGACATTAGTGGGATTTCAAAGGCGGAAATTGACATCGGGGGGGGGGGCGGTTCTGAAAGGTGGCGCTTTGGGGTCTTCCTATAAAAAAAAGCCCAACAACTTTCAGGGTGTCCTGGTTTTTACTTTTTTGAAAAATGGCAACCCTAATGCAGTGTCAAAACCTAGGCTAGACACATGGCACAGCCGCAGCAAGAGATTGTAAGACATGCCTCTACATCTGGGAGCAACAGAGCGATCAAGCGAGGCTGCAGCATTTGCACCTGCAGCTGCACACAGTCCCCCTTGGGCCTTCTTCCTCTTCACGTGACTGCAGTGTGGCCACTTGGGCGTGGCTTGGAGCTAGTGAGCTTCTGTCACAGATGTCTCAGGGAGGGTGAGACACAGTGCTACTTCCCACAACAGGATGGAGAGCAAAAGCAATTGGTTTTCATGGGCAGACAAGAATCCCTGTTTGTGCAGGCTGGACGGTTCTGTTCTGTCTGCAAGCAACTCCCTGCTAACACTCACTTTGCTGCACTGCCAAGCAACAAGCAGGCGACCGTACTCACAGCTAAGTGTCGCCCCTCCCAGGCACTGATTCCAGCCCATGAGATTCCCCTCGCAGACCTCCAGCATGTCTTTCCCCCTCCGTCCCCCAAGCCTTTGCAGCCTCCTCCCCATCAAGGTCAGGGAGGGGTGGGTTCCTGCTCAGTAAACCTCCCACTCTCTTCTCAGCCCCACCACCACCACTTCGGCAGCCATATTCAGAAAGGGCAGCAAGAAGCCAACAGCTGCATTTCCCAGCTTATTGTGGACACCTTGCAACTTTTGCTGCAAACCTTCACTCTCCCTGGAAGCCCCAGCAACAAAGTGCTGAAATGAGGCTGCAGCTGCTTTGCAAGCAGAACTCTGCAGGGCAAAACATCTGGCAGCGGCATCTCCAGTTAAGCAGGTTCCAGGTAGCAATGGTCCCATCCTGGCCTGAGAACCAGGGAGAGCCAATATCGGGACAGAGAAGTATGGGTGCCTACTTTCCTCTAAACAAGGCTTTGGGGTTTGTTCATAGAATCATAGAGCTGGAAGGGACCCCACGGTTCATCTAGCCCAACCCCCTGCAATGCAAGAATCTCAACTAAAGCACCCGTGACAGACAGACAGCCAACCTCTGCTTAAAACACCCCCAAGGAAGGAGAATCCACAACCTCCTGAGGGAGACCGTTCCACTAATGAACAGCTCTTACTGTCAGGAAGTCCTTCCTGATGTTTAGTCGGAATCTCCTTTCTTGTAACTTGAAACTAATAGTTTGAGTCCTGCTCGCAGGAGCAGGAAAAAGCAAGCTTGCTCCATCTTCCATGTGTCAGCCCTTGGGATGTTTGAAGATGGCTCTCATATCTCCTCTCAGTCTCCTCTTATCCAGGCTAAACATACCCAGTTCCCTCAACCGTTCCTCATAAGGCTTGGTTTCCAGACCCTTGACCATCTTGGTTGCCCTCCCCTACACACATTCCAGCTTGCCAATATCCTTCTTAAATTGTGATGCCCAGAACTGGATACAGTACTCCAGGTGTGGTCTGACTAAGGCAGAATAGAGTGGAACTATTACATCCCTTGATCTGGACACTGCTCAGTGGGTTAGGTATGCAATGATGCAGGAAGGAGACCTTCCAGCTGTCCTCTTCTCAAAGCCCTCTGCCTCCCACTCTGACTGCAGCCTGAGGACCCCCACACCTGGCATCTACAGTTCCAGGATGCGCCCTTCCCCTCCCCTCCCCCTTGGTTTCTCTCAGCAGCAGGAAGAGCCTGCCTTGCTGCTGGTGTGCAGGTCAACCGCATGGCCCAGCACACAGTGCTCCAGCTGCTCCTCCATGGCCAACACCTGCCGCACAGCTTCTTCAAAGGCCACAGCCACGTTGGTGTCGTCCTTGGCACTCGTCTCCAGGTAGGGGTAGTTGCCATGCTCCATGCACCAGGCCTGGGCCTCTTCAGAAGTCACCTGCCTCTCCAACTTGTCCACCTTGTTGCCCAGAACCACAAAGGGGAAGCAGTCAGGGTCCTTCACGTTGGCATAACAGATGAACTCCTTTTGCCAGTGGCCCAGGTTGTCGAAGCTCTGCCGGTCATCCACACTGAAGGTCAGCAGACAGCAATCAGCCCCCCGGTAGAAAGGGGTCCGCAGGCTCTTGAAGCGCTCCTGCCCAGCTGTGTCCCAGATCTGGAGCGTCACGAAGCGCCCATCCACCTCCAGGTCCCGGTTGAGGAACTCAACCCCAATGGTGTGGAAGGCCTGCGAGTCAAACTTGTTGGTGACGTAGCGGTTCATGAGGGAGCTCTTCCCAACGCCGCCATCACCCAGGAGGATCACCTTCAGCAGCAGTGACTTCCCACTCATGGCAGCAGAGGAAAAGTCTAGAGGGAAAAAGCACCTCCGTTAGTGAGAGGCCAGCTGTTAAGGAGCCCCTGTCTCTTCCACCACAGTATAGAGAGGAATCCTGCCTGCCACTCCTGTATTTCCAGTGCCTGCCAGGGGCAGAGGACCTTTTTCAGATTGAGGGCCACAATCCCTGCCAGGCAACGTTCCAAGGGCCACATGCAAATGAGGGGTGGAGCCAAGGGGGAGAAGCTGGCAGAGCAACAGATGCAAATTTCACCTTTGTACAGTGGGCCTGTTTCCACACACACACTCACACCTTGCTCTGCTCTCTATCCTCCATCCAGGGAAGAGGCATGGCCAGAGGTCAAGGACACACTCCACACACTAGTGAGAGTTCCAAGGGCCAGACAGAGAGGTACAGAGGGCTGCACCTGGGCTTGAGGTTCTCCACCTCTTTCATATGCATATTAATTTGTGGGACTCGTTGCCACAAAGGGTGGCAGCAGTCGCTGGCTTTGAAGAGGGATTCAATAAATCAACAGCGGAGGATGTGAAAAAGGCCTTTCTATGGCTACCAGCCCATGTGACTGCATGCTGCCTGGAAGGTTTCCACAAGGATTCAGGGATGCCATGTTTCTGCATATCAGTCGTGGGGGGGGGAATGGTGCTTGCATTCTGCTTGTGGGTTTGTAGGAATGACTTAGACTGAGTCTGACCACTGACTGGTCCATTGAGTTCTGCCATGACTGACAGCAAGGCTCTTCAGGCTTTCAGGCAGGGGACAATGCCCAGCCCTTCCTGGAGATGCCATCAGGGACAGGCCCTGGGGCCTTCTGCATGCCAAGCAGGTGCTCTGCTGCTGAGCTAAAATAAAAAAGCAAATCTGGCTCGCCACTATTCCAACAGAACGCTGAACCAGAAGACAAAAGGCCTCTGATCCAACAGGGCTCCTCCGATGTCCTCAGGGCAAGGGCTGATCTACTATGAAACTAACAAAGTTTAATCCCAGAGGGGCCCCAGAAGCGACCTTCGTCCACATTTGGCTTAAAAATTTGGGGTATAGTAGGCCAGATTTGAGTGACACGACTCAAATTGATTAATTTTCTGTTGCGTATATTTCAACAATCCCAAAGCTTGAGAGCTGTTAGCACAGACGTTTGTAAAGGTGTGGTGATCTATCACGGAACAACCCCATTGAAGAAGATAACAGTGGTTAGGCAGACCTCGCTGCTGCCTGTGAAGTTCAAGCTTCAGGGCCCTCAGAATGTAGGTCTGCCACTGCTTCAGGGATGCCAATTTGAATAAAACATTGGAGGCAGGCAGGTAACTCCCAAGACATTTGAATTGCAACACCAATTCACTTTGGGGGGAGGGGCCAGCCCCCTCAAATATTTTATTTTATTGTGGGGGAGGGCCGAAGGCACCTCACTCCCTAGGAGTTGGCCCCTAAGCTCAGGGCAGAGAGCTAAAGGGTGGCAGGCAGTGTGGTGTTCTCCTAACCGCTCCTTCAGTGTAGGCTTGTGGTTTGCAATTGCAGCTTTGGAAACTGGATGACTCTGCAGGGCAGACAGAGGCAGTCTGAAAGTAAGCCGGTTGCCCCATGCCGACAGGGAACACAGCAGTGAGGGCAGAGGGCTGGCTGAGTGCCCACCTGCAGCGTACCTGTACTGTGGAGAGAACAGTCCCACCTCCAGGGCAGCCTGGCCAATGCCACACCTGCGCCTCAGCAGCATCACTGAAAGGCAAGGCAGGTCACTCAGCTTGTTACCATGTGGGGTGGGAGGACAGTTCATGCGTAAGTGTCCCTTTCGCTCCCCACATTGTCTCTTGATGGGCAGACCTGCCACTTTGCAATAGCCCCCACAAACAGCGCAGCATTCTGCTGAGAGAATGAGCAAGCATTTGGTTTTCGGAAACCACAGGCCCTGACATCGCTCTGTCTGTGGGCATGGCTGGCACTGCCATTGTGCAGGCTACCCCCCCCCTCCCAAGGGAGAGGGGGCCAGCACTCCCTCCCCCTGCTCCACCCACTCAGAGTGATAGACCTTCTTTTCCCTAAGATGAGCCAGAAAGATTTACTTTATTGTCGTTTTATTTATCAAGGAACCTACCTCTACCTGCTCTCCACTGGAAAGTGGCAGAGTGGGTCATGCTAAGAGCATGAAAATTAAGAGTCTGGATCAGGCCAAGATGCCCTTTAGGAGAAACCAGCAAACAGGAGCGCTCAGCGGTGGTTTCCAGCAAACGGCATTCAAGAAGCATCCCTGCCTCCGGGAGTTTAGATTTTAAAAGGGCGGATCCCTTTGCAAACAGGGCAGGTTGGAGGGGGCAATGGTGTGCTCGGAAGCGTCTCGGTCATGCCCAATGGGCTAGACCCGAGGGCAGGGATCCCGGGACTCCCCACCCCCCCAGCAGAAGCAGCAAGAGGGTCCCGAACCCCCACATTTGGGAGGGAGGGAGGAAGGCGCATCCATCCTCCTCCCCGAAAACCGAACCATCAAACCACCCTCCCTCGGAGAAGACCACCAAGGAGGCCGGGATCTACCTGACCCGCCGGGATCCGCCCATTGCCCACCCCGTCCGGCCTCCCGCAGCAGTGCAAAGGGGGAACTGGATCCTGCCCAATGACACACCATCTCCCCACGAGGCCTCCACGCAGCGCACCTGCCCGCCGCCGGCCTCGGACGGGTCTCGAACACGCGGCCCGCGCTGACCGGGAGATCAAAGGCGCATCTGAAGTCGGGCGGGCCGGGCGATGGTGGGGGTAGGGGACCCCACCGCGCATGCGCTCACTGCCTGCGGAGACCCGAGCGTCTTCCGCCAGCATCACTTCGCTGCTGTGGCCACCAATAGGAAGAGAGCCCGCCCGCCCCGCCCCCATGCCGCGACAGGTGTGAAGCAGGTGCGCCGCTGGGGACAACCGTTACCCGGCCGCAGGCAGGCAAAGAGCGCGGGCAAAGAGGCGGGGGGGGCGCCCTCTTCTCTGACAGGTGGGAACAACAGGAAGGGAACACAGTGGCAACTACCTTACGCTAAGGCAGACCAAAAGCCCACTTTAGTTCTGTATCGTCTGTACGGACTAGCAGCAATGGTTCGCCAGAGTTTCAGACCCAGTTCTCCCTCGGAGCCACATCTGGAGGTGACATGTGGGGTGTAGCTACTACATCTCAGCTTTTGAATAAAATGGCTCTCCTGGATTATCTCACCTGTCCAAGTCACTGGAGTGAGTAAAAATGCCCTGTGCCTTATAGTTTTCAAGCCTCATATTGAGTAAAAGATTCCTGTATTCCAGGGGTTTGGCTAGATGACCTTAGAGCCCCTTCCAACTCTACAATTCTATTATTATTTTTCTGTTTTTTTTAAACAATGTACAGTACAGTGGTACCTTGGTTCTCAAACATAATCCTTTCCGGAAGTCTGTTCCAAAACCAAAGCATTCCCAAACCAAGGCGCGCTTGTAATGCAAAACAGATTACTCCGTTCCAGACTTTTTTTGGGGGGGGACCCCAAAACAGCAATTTAGAATTTTACTATCTAATGAGACCATGGGACGCGGGTGGTGCTGTGGGTTAAAGTCTCAGCGCCTAGGACTTGCCGATCGAAATGTCGCCGGTTCGAATCCCCGCGGCGGGGTGCACTCCTGTTGCTCGGTCCCAGCGCCTGCCAACCTAGCAGTTCGAAAGCACTCCCGGGTGCAAGTAGATAAATGGGGACCGCTTACTAGTGGGAAGGTAAACGGCGTTCCGTGTGCTGCGCTGGCTCGCCAGATGCAGCTTGTCACGCTGGCCACATGACCCGGAAGTGTCTGCGGACAGCGCTGGCCCCCGGCCTATAGAGTGAGATGGGCGCACAACCCTAGAGTCTGTCAAGACTGGCCCGTATGGGCAGGGGTACCTTTACCTTTTAATGAGACCATGGATCCATAAAATGAAAGCAACAATCATTGTACTGTACTATAAAATAAACAAGACAGTACTGTAGATGATAAAAAAAAAAGTTCTTACTTGCACTGATGATCATTGTTTGGATGGGGGGCTTTTATCCATTTCTGCTGTCACACAATCAGCTGAACTGGGTTCCATACAGTCACAAAAACAAATTAACCGAAAAAGCCTCAGAAACAAAAATGCAAAATAAAGAGCAAAACAAAGCACCAGATACAGTGGTACCTTGGTTCTCGAACTTAATCTGTTCTGGAAGTCCGTTTGGCTTCCGAAATGTTGAAAAACCAAGGTGCGGCTTTTGATTGGTGCAAGTGCCCCAGAAACAATAGCCGACAGCTGTATCAGACATTCGGCTTTTGAAAAATGTTTGGAAACTGGAACACTTACTTCCAGGTTTTCGGTGTTTAGGAACCAAGGGGTTTGAGTACCAATGTAATGTAACAAGAACTAAGGTAAAAATGGATTTTTTAATTTAAAAAATGGAGAAACTATATGATGCAGTTGAAAAAAATTGACAATGGAGCCCATGAAGGGGTGGAGGGAAGTTAAAGACTCAGGGAATCCTATATGTTTATGTTTATGATTAGTATTTGAATATGAATATAAATGTAAATTGCAAAGCTGAATAAAAAATGGTTTGTTTTTTTAAAAAAAGACTCAACTTGACAAACATTGCACTGAATATCAAAGAATTTTGTTCAACACAACAAGCCCATCCACCACATTAAAATACCCATATTGACTTTTCAGTTATATTTTTATTGCTTCTTTTATTTCTAAGTGCCTGCTGGGAAAATCCACAGAGTGGCTAGAAGAAGAAGAAGAAGAGTTTGGATTTGATATCCCGCCTTTCACTCCCCTTCAGGAGTCTCAAAGCGGCTCACATTCTCCTTTCCCTTCCTCCCCCACAACAAACACTCTGTAAGGTGAGTGGGGCTGAGAGACTTCAAAGAAGTGTGACTAGCCCAAGGTCACCCAGCAGCTGCATGTGGAGGAGCGGGGAAGCGAACCCGGTTCACCAGATTACGAGACTACCGCTCTTAACCACTATACCACACTGGCTAGTGGATAAAGACATTCTGGCAGCAGAACAAGTGGGATTTAGACCCGGCAGGTCCACACTAGATCACTGCCTAACATTACAAGGACCTTATAGAAAAATATAAGTCAGGAGGGCAGGCCTCACTATATGCAGCCTTTCTTGATCTAAAAGCAGCCTTTGACTCAGTTTCCAGAACGAGACTCTGGGACAAGCTTTGGGCCACTACCATTGATAGAAGGCTACTATATTTAATTCAGGTAGTACAATGCATTCAAATACGGCCCTTAGAGTCAGGTGCAGCCGGCTAGGGCACTTAACAGATCCCATCAAAACAGAGTGGCTGGGGAAACTCAGCCAGATGGGCGGGGTATAAATAATAAATAATTATTCTTATTATAGGGTGTTGGGCCCCTTTATTATTTAATTTTTATTTAAATAACCTGGTAACCACTCTCCATAACCTCGACTTCCACCCTCCCAAGTTAGCAAACCGGCACATCACAGCTCTGCTTTACGCAGATGACGTGGTAATACTATCTAGAACCCCCATAGAGCTTAGAAGAGCACTAAGAAAATTAGCTGCCTATTGTGAGACGGAATGCCCCAAAATAAATATCAGAAGACCAAAATTCTTGCTTTTGGGAAAAAACTAAAGCTCAGAAACTGGAAACTTCAAGGCCAAAATTTAGAACAAGCCCCCAACTACTGCCACTGTTGACAGCCTGTTGCCCCTTCACTCTGCTTGAATGGGTTATGTCACAATCAGGTGTTTGTGAGCATGAAAATGCTGTTGGGAGTTTCAGCAATGAAGACTCAGGCATAACATACTGTTTGAAAGTCTGAACATTTCCTCTTTTTTTATTTAACAAAATTTATATACCACTTTTATAATTTATATACAAATTACTAGGAGAGTAAGTTAAACATATACTGTAGTTTATTCACTTATAGGCTAGTTAACATACTTTATTCCTTCTTATACTTCTATCCCACCTTTCCTCCGCAGAGCATACACACTTCAGCCTCCACCTTCTCCATTTTATCCTGACAGCAATATTGTGAGCTAGGGCCATAGCTCAGTGGTAGAACAACTGCTTAGCATGCAGAAGGCATCAGGTTCAGTCCCCAGCATCTCCTGGTGGGACTGGGAGCGCTCCCTCTGCGCTTCGGAGGCTTCGCGTTGCTATCGCTGAAGCCAAGGAGCCTGCATTCGCTCCATAGGACACACACACCTTTCCCCTTAATTTTGGAGGAGGGAAAGTGCGTCCTATATTGCAAAAAATACTATATATCCAAAACCCATGTAAGGGTGAGAAAAACATAAATTTTACAGCGTGTGACCTATTAAGGGAGAACTACAGAAAAATTCATCGTAGATGGTACTTAACTCCTGACAAATTGTCAAAAATGAACAACAATAAATGCTGGAAATGTAATAGGACCAAAGGCACGTTATACCACATGTGGTGGACTTGCTCAAAGATTAAAACCTTTTGGGACATGATCCACAATGAGATAAAAAAATTGATAAGGGCATCACACAATAAAAAGGCAGAGGCATATCTACTAGAAATTCTTGATAAAGATATCCCAAAGGATAAAACTAACATATTCTTATACGTGACAAAACGTGTTCTCCCTAGCAGAGAGGATACAAGCCACCCCAGTGTTGCTGGGCGGATTTGCGGAGTGACCCAGGCAGTGAATTGGTTAATTGGGTCGCTGGGGTGAATTGCTTGTTGCCAATTTTGAAGGAGGGGTCAGAGGTTTTAAATATTGGACACCCAACTTTGGGCGTCCTTTTGGCTGCTTGCACTGGATCACATGGAGTACTTGGACTGTCTGGAGGACAGTAGAGCGGTTGGTTACATTTCTTTATTTCCCCCTTCTTTTTAATCCTCTCTAGTCCCTTAAATAATTTAATTCCCCTTTTTTCCTGTTTGATTTCCCACCCCACCCCTTACCCCTGCCCTTTGGGAAGATTCTCCCTGTATCTGTGGCTTGCCTTTCCCAATAGGGAGAGAGCCCCCATTAGGGGCTTTCTTTCACAAAAGTTTTCCCCATTTCACCTGTTTGTTAACTGTGGGGCTAGTCAGGGCTGTTCCCAGCTTAGCTGGAATCACTTTCGTTTATAGTGTCCCCGAAGGTTGGCTTTATTTTGGGTTCGTGCAGCGCTGTTGGCCAAATTTTAATCTAGCCTTGGGCGGGAGCACTATTTTGAGTTCCTTTAATATTGCTATGAGACTAAGATTCTCAAGAGCAGAAGCAGGGAGGCCTATTCGGCCTGCACCTAACTTCCAAGCCTAAGTCTGCTACAGGTAGCAGTTAATGGTTAAGTCTCTTTGACACGTGACTCACTCTCTCTATTAAGAATGTATCTGCTTGCAGGCTCAGTTGCTGCTAATGTATATCTGAGGCAGACAGAGGGCGCCAGAGGCTCTCTGTGCCTCCAATGACTATGAGCACTCTTTGTATGCTCTTTAACTATGCTGTTTCTGAACAAGTTTATTTTCTTCAAGTTTGTTTTGCCCTGATAGTGGTGACTGCCATTTTAGAGACTAGCCATTGTGGCTTAGTGGCTAGAGTGCAGGACTAGGACCTGGGAGACAGGGTTCATATCCCCCTCTTAGCCATTGTTATAACAAAACAAAACAAACTGCTACTTTTGGACTATTCCGTTGCTGGGTAGTTTGGCCCATTTGTGATAAAAGAACTTTGGGTTTCTTGAAGGGTGCTTCCCTCTAAAAGGGCAAGCAGGGGTACCTGGACAAGCTGTGGGCTACCTCAACTCTGTTATTTCACTGGAAACATTTATGTCTGGCCTAGCAGGTGATCCTATGGCTTTGCCCTAGAATTCGATGGCCTCTGGCAGCGTTTCCGGCCTGAATAGTGTCCCCATGTGGTGCACGAAACATTGGTTTCACTGGTTGCTTACATTGTTTAGTTTTTTGCAGACTATGACAGGGCCTTTGCAGATGCCTCCAGAGCTTGCCTCTCCTGCAGAGGATGACTTACTGATGCCCCAGGTGCCTTCTTCACAATATTGCTGTCAGGATAAAATGGAGAAGGTGGAGGCTGAAGTGTGTATGCTCTGCGGAGGAAAGGTGGGATAGAAGTATAAGAAGGAATAAAGTATGTTAACTAGCCTATAAGTGAATAAACTACAGTATATTTTTAACTTACTCTCCTAATAATTTGTATATAAATTATAAAAGCGGTATATAAATTTTGTTAAATAAAAAAAGAGGAAATGTTCAGACTTTCAAACAGTATGTTATGCCTGAGCCTTCATTGCTGAAACTCCCAACAGCATTTTCATGCTCACAAACACCTTATGAAGGAACCATTGTGACATAACCCACTCAAGCAGAGTGAAGGGGCAACAGGCTGTCAACAGTGGCAGTAGTTGGGGGCTCCCATCTATTAAAAAGCCACAGAAAGTCTTTTCATACTTCCTGAGGAATTAATCCCTTATTTAACGTTCATAATTGCTGGATCTATTTAACAGGACTGGAGCTAACATTTGCTTGGATTTGGCACCATCCAAATCTGCTGCATCCTCTGCTTTGAAGTCACCCTGGTCTTTGGGCCTCCAGCACCACCTTCAGCATGTCCAACCCATCTAAGAGGCATATGATGTTGGTGTTCCACTGGGTTAGGAAGAAGCCCCTGACAGAGAAGCCGTGCTCTACCATCTCGGCCAGACCTTCTGCCTCTGCACCAGCTTGCAACACTCCTCACATTTCACCCTTACTTTACGAGGAGCAAGACACAACCTGCTCCGCTCAGGAGGTCCAGCAGGTGCAAGGTGCTGCGATTACCGAATCTCACCGACCCCAAGTTTTAAAGATCTGTCATTGGCAGCGTTGGCCAGAAGAGAGCCCGCAGGCGTGGCAAGCAAAAGAAGACTCCAGCGGGTACAGGAAAATGGGTGAGGGCTAAGCTAGAGGCAAGAAGGCTCCAAAGCTATTTGCGGGGTGGGATTGCTTTGGAAGATGCCTTCTCACAATCTCTACCCTTGAACCACGTAAGGACATAAGAAGTGCCTGCTGGATGAGGCCACATTGGCCTGTCTAGTCCAGCATCCTGTTCTCACAGTGGCCAACCACAGTCCTGTGGAAACAAGAGCATTCTGTATTCCCTTCCTACATCTTCCAACAACTACTATTCACAAACGTTACTGCCAATGACTGTGGAGGTAGAGCATAGCCATTGTGCCTAGTGGCCATTGATAGCCTTTCCTGCATAAAACCATCCAAGTTTGTGGCCCTCACAGCTTTCTGTGGGATTGAGCTTCCAGACAGTAGCTGAGCATGCCTGCTGCAGGAAAAAACAGGCATTAAAAGCACATTTCTCCTAAAGAATCCTGGGAATTGCAGTTTGTAAAGGGTGCTACAAATTGTAGCTATGCGGTAGAAGGGTAATCTACAGTTCCCAGGATTCTTACAGGGGAGAAGCGATAATGCTTTTAATGTATGGTGTGTACACAGCCTCGAATTAGCTCCACCGGCTCTGTAATACTAGAGCAAAGATTATAATGCATATTGTTGTTGTTGTACTTTTATAAATATTATAAAACCCATTCCTGCAAGCCATGTAGTCTGGAATAAACTCAGTCACCCCTCCCATCATTAATTGTTTCTACTAGGTGGGGAGGGGTGTTGGATCTGCTTCCCTGCCTTGAAGAAAGGCACAGGTCAGATGTGTGCCCAGACCTGGCCACGCTTCGCAAGAGAGGTGTGTTGGTTCAAGGTGGCCACGCTGCCTGCAACTTGCACTCCTTCCTGACGTGTCTTCCCCAAACCCTTTCTTCCAGAGGCTGTGTTGAAGTTTTCCATCACGTGGAATACAAACTCACGGAACTACCTCGAGGCGCAGGCAGTGGTGGAAACCCTCCTCAAGCATGAGACACCAGAGAGCCTCTTGCAATACAAAGGGATCAAAGCAGCTGTGGAGTCTCTCCTACCATACACGGCACTTCCAGAGGCTGGGCCGGTTACTGCAGGCCTCCATGTTCCTTGATTTCATGTGACAAAACATGAAATTGCCTGACGCCGCCAAGTGGGACAAGGAGATGGACATGTGATGAGCTTTATTTATTTATTATTAATTTTATTGAGTACAAATTAGAAAAAATACAAATATACAAAAAAATGTAACCAATAGAAAATTAGAAAACATTTTACCTCTTCTGATATTTACAATTATTTGCACCTCTACAAAACAATATTCACAATAAAGAAAAGAAATGAAAGGTAAAATATAAAAGAAAAGAACAAGAAGATAAAGAAAAGGAAGAATTAAGATCAAGAATGAGAATTTTAAAAGTAGATAAGTATTCACTATACACAGCCATTTCCAATCTATATTTATGCTCAATTATGTATTTTCATCATATCCTTATCTATCTTAATTAAAATATTTTTAAAAGACTTCCACCGTTTGCCTCACGCGTTTTTGGTAGTCCATTTGTCAAAACCTCTGTTCTTCATATTTTTCCTTTGGGTCTCCTTAATGTCTCACTTCGTATTTTTTATATTACTCACAAGATTATTCTAAACACAACCAGATTTTAGTAGCCGAGCCCTGGTTTTGTAAGTAATCATTTAAACACTCCCATTGCTTCATGATCATAGTTTTAGGTTTTCTCCTTATTAAATCTGTCAATTTTGCTAGCTCCAGGTACTTGCAAAGTTTCCCCAGCCATTCCCTTTTTGTTGGAATGCTATCCTTTTTCCAATAGCTAGCAATCAAAACTCTTGCCGCTGTTGTCACGTATAAGAATAAGTTAGTTTTATCCTTTGGGATATCTTTATCAAGAATTCCTAGTAGATATGCCTCTGCCTTTTTATTGTGTGATGCCCTTATCAATTTTTTTATCTCATTGTGGATCATGTCCCAAAAGGTTTTAATCTTTGAGCAAGTCCACCACATGTGGTATAACGTGCCTTTGGTCCTATTACATTTCCAGCATTTATTGTTGTTCATTTTATTCATTTTTGACAATCTGTCAGGAGTTAAGTACCATCTATGATGAATTTTTCTGTAGTTCTCCCTTAATAGGTCACACGCTGTAAAATTTTTGTTTTTCTCACCCTTACATGGGTTTTGGATATATAGTATTTTTTGCAATATAGGACGCACTTTCCCTCCTCCAAAATTAAGGGGAAAGGTGTGTGCGTCCTATGGAGCGAATGCAGGCTCCTTGGCTTCAGCGATACCAATGCAAAGCCTCCGAAACGCAGAGGGAGTGCTCCCTCCGCGCTCCGGAGGTTTCGCGTTGCTATCGCTGAAGCCTGGAGAGCGAGAGGGGTCACTGTACACCAACCCTTCTCGCTCTCCAGGCTTCAGGGATAGCCGCCTGAATCCTTTGGAGCGCAGAGCGAGTTCCCGCTGCGTTCTGGAGGCTTCAGGTTCCTTTCGCTGAAGCCAGGAGAGTCTTGCTCTACCGGCTTCAGCAAAAGGAACTCGAAGCCTGCGGAGCACAACGGGAACTCGTGCTGCGCTCCAAAGGCTTCAGGGATAGCTGCCTGAAGCCTTCAGAGCACTGCGTGAATTCCCACTGCGCTCCAAAGGCTTCGGGTTTAGGAAAAGGAACCCAAAGCCTGCAGAGTGCAGCGGGAACTCGCTCTGCGCTCTGAAGGCTTCAGGGATCTTTGAGGCTGGCGGTGGGGGAATGCAGCACTTCCCCCCACTGCCAGCCCCACAAGCTTGGGGAGCAGCGGGAAGGCGGCGCATAGCCTTTGCGCTGCTCCCCGACCTGGTCTTTGAGGCTGGTGGTGGGGGAAAGCAGCGCTCCCCCCCCGCCAGCCCCAAAGAGCAGGTCAAAAGGAACCCGAAGCCTCCGGAGACCAGCGGGAACCCACCGACCCCTCTCGCTCTCCAGGCTTCCAAGGTAGCCGCCTGAAGGCGGCTGAATGCACCTTGAGCGGCACCTTGTTTTAGAGGGGGAAAACAAGGGAGGGAAAATCTCCCCCTCTCTGCGCAGCGCCTCCTGCCACTTCGCTGAAGGGGCGCTGGGCAGAGAGGGGAAGATTTTTTTTCTTGTTCTCCCCCCTCTAAAACAAGGTCCTATGGTTGGGTGCGTCCTATAGAGCGAAAAATACGGTATCTCTATTTCCTCACATCCAGAAACGCAAGAAGGGCTTTCACTCTTACTAGAAGCTCAGCCTTGCCCTCACCGGTCCTGGAAGGCTCCTATAGAAGAGTCCCTTACCCACAGAGACTTTGAGCCTGCCCATTAGGGGAAATAGGAAGCCCCGAACATATATTTTTTAGATGTCCTTCTTATGCTGAGATTCATAGAGACACCATTGATCCTTTGCTGAAGAGGCTCGCCAATCTTTCAGACAAGTCTAAACTTAATTCTCTCCTCTTAGGCAAAGATCACAAGACGACCTGGCTGGTAGCCAGATTCTGCGCCCAGATTTGTAGGCACCGATCATCCTCTAGAATAAAGTAGCTTACTAGGGAAAAGCTGAAGTCGCCCTTTGGGGCGCCTCAGGGTCAATTTTTATGGTAGCCCAAATCTCAGTTGTACGGGTGTATGTATATACTGTATCTCAATTTTAACTCATGAGCTATTGCTGCAATCTGCTCTAATTGTATATTTTATCTTAATGAACACTGTTTTTATTGTGTTATGTGAACTGGTCTTTGACTGTAATAAATTATCTATCTATTTCTAAGTGTATTTTAATCGTATTAAAATTTGAACTGCAGGTGATTTTTTAAATAAAAAAATAAGTTGGCATCTAGCACTGCACATGACAGCTGCTAAACAACAGGCATTAAGTTCTCCTCCAAGGTCCTCAACAATTTCCAAGTGGTCCGGGGCAGTGAGGAATTTGGCAACCACCACCCTGGGTATTAATTTGGTTGTCCACCATTTTCTCCCCCCCCCCCCGCCTGTCCTAACAGATTATTTCATACTATAATAATTTCACAACTTTTACTCCAATTCTTTCTGACAACTTATCAAAAGATGCCCTTCTTTCCTCACATATTCTTTTCCGCAGCAGCACCCTTTAAACCAATTTATCCTCCTCATTCCCTTTAGTATATCTCTCTCTAAACTTCCCCATTAAATAAATGTTTTAAAAGGAAGACATTTTCTTTGGCACTCGCAACATCTATCTGCTTCATTTCAAACACTTAAGAGAGAGAGAGAAACTGATATTTATTGCCGGATTTGAGAACGTTCCTCTGCTTGTGTTTCAAGAAGATGGACTTTTCCCCATTTGCTCTGCTTCCTGCTCAGTTTGACCTGGTTCTCAGTTTTTAATGATGGGGCTCAAACAAGTTTCTGGCCACAGCAACCTTCACAGGATTTCTCTGGATCACTTCTCGTTTGATCATCGCTGCCCATATTAACAAGCCTGTCTGTTATCTCTGAATTCAGTTACACCGGCTTAGATCAGCTGTATGTCCTTCGGATCACCGTTTTTATTTTTATTACACTCAACGACTGAAGATGAGTTTGGAAATTGGCAATATTAACTCCAGAGATGCCAGCCTAGATTTTGCCAGTCTTTCACTTTGGTGATAGGGGCCTTTTGGTTTACGATGCTCTAAAAAACATTGTATACAACGATAGTGGTGCTTTTTAACAGCTCTGGCTGACCTTACTATTAGGCAGGGTGATTTCGCTCCTTTACACAGCAGTTTCTTGGAGACCAGTATATTAAAGGAAAGACAAAAAAAATAGCCAGTGATATAGAACTCAATCCTAAGCAAGTCTACTCAGAAGTAAGCCCCAAATGGGGCTTCCTCTCCAGAATGGGCGCATCCAGACTTCTGTTTCCCCCACTGCTTTCTCCCAGGAAAACCTGTGGTTCAGCCCTGAATTGGAACAAGCAGCAATAGGGTTTTGTGGTTTTTTGCGGATTGCGCTTTGTTCCAATATAGCACTTAATAGCGGGTTTTATGTGCGGAAGCTGTGCAAAGACAAAACTGCTTGGACCCATGCCTGACAAGCACAGGACAAACAGAAAACTGCTCAGACTTGTGTTTTCTAGGCACAAGACAAATGGAAGTGTGGGTGATCCCTAAGTTTATTTAGGATTTGCAGCCTTCATTTGCTTGTATTTTTTGACAGCCCAAAGAGGAGGGCTGTTTGGGATTTTCTGCACCCCAGAGGCTCAGTAAAGAACTACAAGAGTCAGAAGCCATTTGAATGCCACAAATACTGTTTGGGGTTTGCAAATCAGTCTGTCTCCAATTGCCTGACGTGCTCCTTAGCTTGGGGAGAACTACATTTGAAGGCAGGTAGTTGTTTTTCTCTTTGACATCTGGTGGGAGGGCATTCCACAGGGGCGGGTGCCACCACCGAGAAGGCCTTCTGCCTGGTTACCTGTAACTTGGCTTCTTGCAGTGAGGGAACTGCCAGAAGGCCCTCGGAACTGGACCTCAGTGTCCGGGCTGAACGATGGGGGTGGAGACGCTCTTTCAGGTGTTCAAGGGGACCTACTCCACTTGGGTTGGAGCCTTAGTTTCATATTATATACGTGGACATGTTTTATGTTTTTAGTATTTGATTTTCTGTTAAAACAATCAAAGTGGCTTGCAATAAAATAAGAAAACCCATCAGAATAAAAATGAGTCATTAACAGCAATATATTAGGTAAAGGTAAAGGGACCCCTGACCTTTAGGTCCAGTCATGGCCCGACTCTGGGGTTGCAGTGCTCATCTCGCTTTATTGGCTGAGGGAGCCGGCGTACAGCTTCCAGGTCATGTGGCCAGCATGAGTAAGCCGCTTCTGGCGAACCAGAGCAGCGCACTGAAACGTCGTTTACCTTCCGCCGGAGCGGTACCTATTTGCACTTTGACGTGCTTTCGAACTGTTAGGTTGGCAGGAGCTGCAACTGAGCAACAGGAGCTCACCCCGTCATGGGGATTCGAACCACCGACCTTCTGATTGGCAAGTGCTAGGCTCTGTGGTTTAACCCACAGTGCCATCCGTGTCCCAAGCAATATATTAGCAGCACATAAAATATTAATGGATAGCATTACAGAACTAAATGCTCATACAGATAGCATTAAAAGGAAAAAAAATACCCCTAATAGTGTGTTGTTGTTGTTAAAAACATATAACGACAATAGTATTAATTTCATTAACTTGCATTTCGTATAACACAGTTGTTAAAAGTTTTTAAAATGGCTGATTATATATTAAAAACTAACCTGGTTTTTTTTTAAAAAAAACCTTTGCTAACCTTTGCTAACCCACTAAAGAGGGGGCTTAGCAGATCTTACCTGGGAGGAAACTCCAGTCTTGGTGCCACAAGGAGGGGAGAGAGAGAGAAGGATGTAATCAAATCTATAATTATCATACAGAAAAATAACATCCTTCCAGCTGCCTTCTTCAGCTCAGCAGGCTTGCTGCAAAATTCATTATCGGATGTTGCATTCACAGTCACCTTTATTGTCTGCTGCATTTACAATAATTAGACCTATAAACACTGATTTATAAAAATGACAAACAAGAGTCCCCAGTAAGGAAGAAACATGAGTTCTCTTTATGGCTCAGCACTTCACAGAAGCCACACACACCAGGCCGAGAGCAGTCATGTTATTTTATGGTTAAATTAAAAGATCTCTCCTCCTGTGGCCTTTCATTCAGCTGCTGTCAGCCACTCTAAAGGGAGACCAGGCATCCCAGATAACAGGAAGTACTACCGTATTTTTCGCCCCATAGGACGCACCGGCCCATAGGATGCACCAAGTTTTTTGGGGGGGAAATAAAGGGAAAAAAAATTATTTCCCCCCAGGCGCTTGCGGGGCTGGCAGCGGGGAGAAGTGCTCTTCTCCCCGCCGCCCGCCTGCAGACCAGGTCCGGGGACAGCGGGAAGACGCGGTGCGCCTCCCCGCTGTCCCTGGAGCTTGCGGGGCAGGCAGCGGGGAGAAGTGCTCTTCTCCCTGCCGCCCGCCTGCAGACCAGGTCCGGGGACAGCGGGAAGACGTGGTGCGCCTCCCCGCTGTCCCTGGAGCTTGCGGGGCAGGCAGCGGGGAGAAGTGCTCTTCTCCCCGCCGCCCGCCTGCAGACCAGGTCCGGGGACAGCGGGAGGACGCGCTGCGCCTCCCAGCTGCCCCCGGAGCTTGCGGGGCTGGCGGCGGGGAGAAGCACGCGTCTCCCCGTCGTCAGCCTCCAAACCACATTGGGAGACAGCGGGATGGCGGTGTTCCACCTCCCCGCTGTCCCCCGACCTTGTGGGACTGGCGCTGCGGCTCTCCTGAAGCCTGGAGAGCGAGAGGGTTCGGTGCGCACCGACCCCTCTCGCTCTCCAGGCTTCAGCGAAAGCCTGCATTCGCCCCATAGGACACACACACATTTCCCCTTCATTTTTGGAGGGGAAAAAGTGCGTCCTATAGGGCGAAAAATAAGGTAATTCTGTGTTTCACATCTTAATTTCACTCTCATGGATGCCTAAGTAAGAGGGATAATAAAACAACAAGAGACCTAACATTACATGACCAGCCTCGTGTGAGGGGTGTTTCTGTGACCAAAGCAAAACTGTCATACTTCCTTGTTATTTTTGCAATTGCCAGGAGGTGTAATACTTGTAATGCAATCTCATTATATTTATCATACTGATTTTTCAATATATATGTTGTTATATTTGCTATTAAGTTGTTGCTTTATTATGTTATTATTACATTATTCTCATGACAGTTGCTTTTGATATGTATTCCTGCTTTCTTTGGCCTCCCCCACTTGAGATTTCCCCCACCCCCCAGACATAGAGACCTACTTAGTCATAAACCTGTTCTGTTGGTGAAATTTTTTGCGCCAGTGGAACACTGCTGAGCAACAGAAGGCATGAGCAGGCTGTTGGTGTTCATTGCTGTGAAATAGATTGTGTCATCTGTTGCACAATGGATTTCTGCTAGTGCAGCTGTTGGATGGGATGCCTCTGTTGTTCAACATTAAAATTCACTTTCTGGTAGCGCAAGAAAGAGCCCATGTTCCAATGGATAGAGAAGGCTGGATACAGCCCATTGCCTCCTGCAGCTCTTCCTTATAAATAACTCAGTCCAGTCACATGTTTCATTAGTACTGGTAACACTTGTTAGGAGTAAAGTGGTTTGTTGCTGTTTCTTTGTCCTGGACTTATTTCCCCGCTGAGCTTATGCTTCTGGGGAAACAGGGGTCCCGGTTCAATGGCAGGGAACCTCCTTGAGTCGCAGGAAGATCCCCTACCAGTCATTGCCAATAATCCTGGGATAGATGAGCAAATAAGGGTGCTGTGGGTTAAACCACAGAGCCTAGGACTTGCCGATCAGAAGGTCGGCGGTTCGAATCCCCGCAACGGGGTGAGCTCCCGTTGCTCAGTCCCTGCTCCTGCCAACCTTGCAGTTTGAAAGCATGTCAAAGTACAAGTAGATAAATAGGTACCACTCCGGTGGGAAGGTAAACGGCGTTTCCGTGCGCTGCTCTGGTTTGCCTAGTCATGCTGGCCACATGACCCGGAAGCTGTATGCCGGCTCCCTCGACCAATAAAGCGAGATGAGCGCCACAACCCCAGAGTTGGTCATGACTGGACCTAATGGTCAGGGGTCCCTTTACCTTTTACCTAGATGAGCCACAGACCGTTCCCAAGAGCTCTTGCAAATGCTGCACCATATAATTCCACCTTGGAGCCAAAAGAGCGTCCTCCCTCCCCCCTCGCCCCCTCTGTTATTGCAATGTGTATTGATTCAACAAATGGCAACATTGAACACCAACCAAGGAAGTACTGGAAGTGGCCAGGTGTCGTTTCATTCCTTTTATGATTAAGCAATGCAGCCTTCCCATTCACCTGAAGAGAAAACACTTGCTTTCTCTTCTACTAGAGAACACTAGATGGCAGCATCATTGTTCCTGTCAAGCATTCTCCTGTCTTGTTCCCCTATTATTCCAGGATGCAGAAAAACAATACTGTAATCAATTGTAAAATGTCCCATCCTTTAGATAACCCCCAAGCCTCTGTTTATAAGGGATATCATTAACATGCTATTGCTTTCTTGAGATAATGGGTATTGATATCCCTTAATAAACACAAATTCAAAACCCACAGTGGATCACAGTGGAGCAATGCATTTATTAAAGTCAATCAAAAAGTCACAAAAAAGCAAGCAAGGTTTTGAGTTATTGGCCTAAAGGTGACACAACAGCAGAAAATAGACTGCGTATTGTAGCCATGTAAGCTGCATTTAGACTCAGTTCCAAGATATAGACCGAAGGCGTATTGGATTAGTCTCTGCTAAATTCTGTGGGTATCAAGTTACACCTCAGTATTCTGGGACAAAGCAGTGATCCCTGTTTCCAAAAACACAAAGCTGAATGGGATGGGCAAATCTGTCAATTTTGGCTCCTCTCAGTTTCTAATATTTCCAGCCTTTATTCCAGTTCTCCACATTTCTGCATCAGTTTGCACTAAATAAATAAAAATATGTGTGTTTTTTTTAAAAAAATGCATATTATATTTTGCATGCTGTTGCCACTATAAATCACATCAGAACTACTTCTGGCAGTGTAACGTGATGCATAAATTGAATAAACAATTGAACTTAATATTTTATTGTTTAAAAAAATCATTGGGGAAAACCACCCCTTTAATTTCGTGTACATACTAACATTTCTGCCTCAAATCAAGGGACGCAAAGCTGCTAACAGAAAAAAGTAAAGCAACAATCCCCATATAAAAAGCAGTTCATACCAAATTAAAAATAGAATCATGGAATTATAGAACTGTAGATTTGGAAGGGAACCCCAAGGGTCATCTAATCCAACCCCCTGTTGAGGAAGGGAACCTCAACTAAATTATACAGGATAGAAGAACTTGGAATGGCAAAGCAACAACTCCTAATTCAAACATCAACATAGTTAAAGGCTTGTGGAAAAAGAAAAATATTCAGACAATTGCGGAACACAAATAATAAAGAGGAAAATAACCGAGGAACCTGTGTGGCCCTCCAGATGTTGTTGGACTGCAACTCCCATCATCCTTGACATTGGCCATGCTGGCTGAGGCTGATGGGAGTTGGAGCCAACAGCATCGGGGAAGGCCCTGTCTCACTCATTCTCAGCTTAGGTTATCTTCTTCTTTCTTTCTTGTGTTCTGACATTGTTTGAATACTCTTCTTCCTCCAAAGAATCCTGGGAGTTTGTTAAGGGCGCTACGCCCAGGGAGGCGTAGCTCAGGGAGGGAACTGTAGCTCTGTGATTTGGGTGACTTTGTCCCATCCATATATTTGAGGGCTTTGTTTGAAGGAAACTCGGAGCGTTGTAATTAGCCTCAAATAGTTTTAGATAACTTCAAGGAGTTTTGGACGGCTTCAGCGGGATTTCAAAGGGGCTTTAGAAGAGCCTCAAAGGAAGGGAGGCTGTTTAAAATGCTGTCCGGTGACTCCTGGAGTCCTTATCTGGCTGGGATATAAGCTTGTTTTCCGGGAGTGTGTCTTTCTCCCTTATTAATTTTTAAAAGCTCCTACTCACTTTGCTGAGGCTCACAGCATCAGGCTCACTTGCATCAGGCGCCATCTTCTTTCGGACAAACTACAGCTCCCAGGATTCTTTTGGGGAAAACCATGTGCTGTAAATGAGCATGGTGTGTGTAGATGTGACTTCAGTCAGCACAGGAAAGAAACTAGCGGTCACCAAGGGAGGAGCAAAATGTTACCCATTTTCAGCAGGTGCATAAAGGGTACTTTTGCAAGCATTTCCAGTTCAGAGAGAAAACCAACGCATGGCCTCTGTGGTCTCAGTTTCAAAGCGCAAGCCACACACACCCAACATACACTCTTAACCCTATGCCAGCATCAGCATGGGAACTCGCAGCCTTCGTGTACTCCCAACGCTCCCACCCTATGAGATTCCACACACTGGAAAAAGTACCATTTACTACGATCACTTTGAGCCAGGGAAAGAGGGAGTTATTCCTCCCCGACACACCCATGTGAGGCAAAGCATCGTGTGGCTCCACCTCAGCCCCAGAGGTCTCTCCATCTCTCTCTGCATGCAGAAGGAAATTTCACGCAGAGGGAGGAAACACCATGGCGAAAGATCCCCAGGAGATCTCTGAGGAATTCTACGTCCAAGATGTAGGTTGATTGCTTTGTTATCCTTTTTACAGGGTGGGTTAGTGAATGCCTTCAATTACTTGCTAAGATCTGTCATTCTGTCTTTCAAAGCATGCATGCCCAGCACATTACAGCTTGCCTCGACAACTGACTTTTCTCTAACTTTCCCCTTTTCTATCTATTAGGCACAAACACCTAAAGCTACGAAAGAACTCTGCAAAAGATACAAGATCTGTGGGGTGTTGCTTTGCAGCCTAGTGCTCTCTGTCATCCTGACATTTCTTGGGGTCTATTATTTTTGGAATCCACCACCTAAAAAAGTAAGTTGCATTCTGTGCATTGAATTTAATATTTATTTTATTACTTATTTAAAATCTACCTGGTATTTCTAAATATCCTCTTTTGTTATTATTTTAAGGACGCAGACCATTCAAGTAGATTTTACGCAAAGTTTTAGGTGCTTACCCTGCTTTGCTTTTTAATAATGGGATCCTTTCCACAGAGGCATTCCATCTCCTTCATAGTAGCGGTCACATAATAAATTTGTGAATAAGTGCTTTCATGTTGTTTCCATTAGCTTGCCAGAAACTGGTGGAAAACCCACTATGCCACCACTTTAAGGGAGAGGGAGCCAAATCTTGAGGGTGGCTGATTACTCTGTGCTGTTCCGTGCCTGCAGCATTAAGCAGCCAAAAAAGGACTCTGGAAGGGGGAAACATGTTGTATTGCATTTTCTTTTATTAACCTATTTTGCAGGACATTGGGCGGGGGCGGCTAGAGCTCATTCATACACTTATATGGGAAGCTCCCCTATATCAAATCAGACCACTGCTCCATCTGGTTCAGTACTGTTGGCTGACAGCAACTTTCTGAGGTTTCAGACAGTGGTCTGTTCCATCCTTACCTGGGTATTTTCTTCTGAGTTGCAGCCCTTTTGTTTTAAAAAATGCATGCATGTAAAAACACAGCATCCATAATCTGATGCCATACTATCATAGGACTGGCATTCTTACATAGTTTGTGACTAGGGGGTTGTGTATTCATACCCTGAAGAGAGAGAAAATCAGGGGATTGCATCATAATGTGTGGGTGGAGGGGCAAAGTGAAAGGTTTAGCCAAATGCATGGAGGATAAATTTATTATCAAGAACTATTAGTTGTGTTAGTTGGATGGTATCTCTATATCTCATGTCTCCCTGGACATCAAATGCAATGGTAGGGCTGCCATACGTATGGGAATCGGGCTCTGAAAAAGGCGTCTGGGTGGGTTTTTGCAGAATCAGAAAAATGTCCGGGAAAACCTGGACATATGGCAAGCAGCGCAATTAAAAAATAATAATGCTTTAGAAATGCTTTGCCTGGATTTTCACTTTTGGCATTATGACACCCCTAAGCAACAGGCATAGGGGACGCGGGTGGCGCTGTGGGTTAAGCCACAGAGCCTAGGGCTTGCCGATCAGAAGGTCGGCGGTTCGAATCCCCGCAACAAGGTGAGCTCCCGTTGCTCGGTCCCTGCTCCTGCCAACCTAGCAGTTCGAAAGCACGTCAAAGTGCAAGTTGATAAATAGGTCAACGCCGGGAAGGTCAACACCGTTTCCATGCGCTGCTCTGGTTCGCCAGAAGCGGCTTAGTCATGCTGGCCACATGACCCGGAAGCTGTTACGCCGGCTCCCTCGGCCAATAAAGCAAGATGAGCGCTGCAACCCCAGAGTTGGCCACAACCGTACCTAATGGTCAGGGGTCCTTTAAGCAACAGGCATAAGAGCATAAACCTAAAAATAACCTGTTGGATTAGGCTAGTGGCCCCTCTTAGTCCAGCCCCCTGTTCTCACAGTGGCCATCCAGAATGCCTGTGGGAAAGCTGCAAGCAGAGCCCTAGCACTCTGCCCATTTGTGGGAGGGATTACCCTTCTGCAATCTAAACTGAGGTTTCCCCAAGCTTCTTACACGTGGGTGGTGCCATTAGTACATTTAATTTTGCTATGAGTGATTTCTTTCTTTGTCTGTTATTTATTTTTAAAATTTGTAGACCGCCCTTCATTCAAAGATCACAGGGCAGTTCACAACATATAAATACAAGATAAGAACACAAAAGACATAATACAAACAAAAACACACCAATAAGCCCCCCTCCACTCCCACAAAACACATTTAAAACGACATAGAATGCTAACCAGCCAAAGGCCTGGGAGAAGAGAAAGTACCTAAAGATATCTAATGAAGGTGCTTGGTGAGCCTCCCTGGGGAAAGCAGTCAAAAAATGGGGAGCCACCACAGAAAAGGCCTGTTCTCATGTTGCCACCCTCCAGAACTCTCATGGAGGGGGCACATGAAGAAGGGCCACAGGGTCCGGGTAGGTTCATATGGAAAGAGGCGGTCCTTGAGGTACTGCGGTCCTGAGCCGTTTAAGGATTTATAGGTCAATACCAGTACTTTGAATTGGACAACATACGCTCAAGCTCCTGGGCATGTCAAAAGGCCACCACCTACTATCACTGCATCTTTGCCAACCATGTTGATTCTCTGCCATTTCTCTGGACCTCTGAGGAACATAGTGGGGCTCACAATGTCAAAGTGTGGTACTAAAGAGGCTTTGCAAAGGCTGGAATATTCACCTAACAGCTCCAGTGACAGTTTCAATTTACCCTGGCAATCCAACCTACATTAAGATGCAGAATCCACAGTCACACAAGCCTCAGTGTGTCCCTTAAGTATGTTGACAAAGGGGTCAGACAACTGTCACCTAGAGTTTTATGGATTTCTGTTCTCTGATAGGCACTTAATTCATATTTTTTTTTATAAAATTTTTATTAGTTTTCCAGACATGTAGTAAAAACAAACAACAAAACAAAACAAAACATACACACAAATATGTACAATTTCATAGACTCATTCTCCTTCACCTTGTTTCCCGGACTTCCCCATACCTCCCTTTTTCTGCATCCTTATTTTTCCCTTTTAACAGCAACCCTTCATTTCATTATTAATTCATCTTCATTATAGCTCCCTTAAATTTATGATATACAGCTGCAATTCTCTATTTCTTAACACCATAACATCTCAGCACTCTTCAATTTTACAACAATTTTTAAGGTATACTTTAAATTTCTTCCAATCTTCTTCCACTGTCTCTTTCCCCTGGTCACGGATTCTGCCGGTCATCTCAGCCATTCCCATGTAGTCAATCACCTTCGCTTGCCATTCTTCCAGAGTCGGTAGCTGCTGCGTCTTCCAATACTTCGCCAGAAGAATCCTTGCTGCTGTGGTAGCATACATAAAGAAAGTTCTGTCCTTCCTTGGCACCAATTGGCCCACCATGCCCAGGAGAAAAGCCTCTGGTTTTTTAGAAAATGTCCATTTAAGGACCTTTTTGATTTCATTGTAGATCATTTCCCAGTAGGCCTTAATCCTCGGGCAGGTCCACCAAAGGTGATAGAAAGTACCTTCAGTTTCATTACATTTCCAACATTTATTATTGGGCAAGTGGTAAATTTTTGCAAGTTTGACTGGGGTCATATACCATCTATAAATCATTTTCATTATATTTTCTCTCAAAACATTACAGGCCGTAAATCTAACACCAGTATTCCACAGCCTTTCCCAGTCTTCAAACATAATGTTATGACCTATGTCTTGTGCCCATTTAATCATAGCTGATTTTACTGTTTCATCTTGTGTGTTCCATTTCAGCAGCAAATTATACATTCTTGACAAGTTCTTAGTATTGGGTTCTAACAATTCTGTTTCTAATTTCGACCTCTCCGTCTGAAAACCTATTTTCCTGTCCTGTTTGAATACCTCGTTTATCTGAAGGTAATGCAACCAATCTCGTACTTTAGACTTTAGTTTATCATAACTCTGTAATTTGACCCTTTCACCATCTTGCTCTAAGATTTCACCGTATTTTGGCCATTTGGACTCCATATTAAGTTTTTTCGTCTTGATAGGCACTTAATTCAGCATGATACTAAAAGTCTGCAGTGTCTTGTCTTTTGAAAAAGTTTCTGGCCCTTATGGCTTCAAATATACCTTCCCAGCCACTGCTATCCTGCTTCCTTAAGCAATAAGAACGAGAACAGCACTACCTGGCTGTGGTTTACTTTGGACAAGACAGCACACTGGAAACTTACGATTTTGTGTTTTAGTTTGGCAAATAAAAATAAAAACATTACAAAATACAACCCCTCTTTCTTCACACTGCTGGCTGCTATTTTTCACACACCCACAGACTGCCCACTCTCCTTTCAGCTGGAGGGATGATGCTTTCTCCAAGCTGAGATGGACATGTCATCCTAAAAACACAGAGGTTTCATTACTCAGCACAAGGCCAAATCACACACAGTCACAGGGCATGTACAGAGTTCAAGATGAAGTGGCCCACTTGGGAACACTCCTACACTGCCATCTCCAGGCCGGACTTGGAGAAACCTCTTCTGAAACCCTGGAGACCAATTGCGAGTCAGTAGTCACATCCACTATATATTGAAAGCACATGGCTTTCCCCAAAATAATCCTGGGAACTGTGGTTTATACCTTGCAGAACTACAAGTCCCAGCAGCCTTAGCAAATGACAGGATTCTTAGTGAGAAGCCGTGTGTGAGAAGCCGTGTGCTTTAAATGTAGGGTGCAGATATGACCAATGTTGACAGTACTGAGCTGGACAGCTGTCTAATTCGACATAAAGCAATTTCCTATCTTCACTGGGCTTGCAAATACAGTGGTACCTCGGGTTACATACGCTTCAGGTTACAGACTCCACTAACCCAAACATATTGCCTCGGGTTAAGAACTTTGCTTCAGGATGAGAACAGAAATTGTGCTCTGGCGGCAGCAGGAGGCCCCATTAGCTAAAGTGATGCTTCAGGTTAAGAACAGTTTCAGGTTAAGAACGGACCTCTGGAACGAATTAAGCACTTAACCCGAGGTACCACTGTAGAGAGTTGACTGCAATAAGCCAAGTGTAACTGTTTGGTTACTTACAGTGTCATCCTCAGGTCCCGCACTCAGATGCATCCCAGAATGGTCTTTAAGTAGCATTCCTTTGTTTTAGTATACTGGCAGCAACCATTTTAGGCATGTCCAATACATGTCTGATCTCACACACGTGCATCGCGCCAAACCCAGAAATGACCCGCAAATGTCACAAAAAGGGGTGCGGCAAGGTGTTTGCAGGCTTTTTCTGGAAGTACTGCAATACAGCCATACCTCGGGTTACAGACGCTCCAGGTTGCGTTTTTTCAGGTTACGGATGTGCCAGAACCCGGAAATACCAGAATGGGTTACTTCCGGGTTTCAGCAGTCGCGCATGCGCAGAAGTGCCA